TAGGCGTGTTTTTTTTTGTTTTCATTTTTTATAGCCAAGAAAGAGAAAAGAAAACAAGGATCATCAGGGTAAAATGGTGACAAAGCACCTTAACTTTCTCCTGTTATTTGTGCAACAACTGTCAAATTTGGTGTATTCCAAGATTGATCATGCAAATACATCAACGGAAAAATATCGACTCTTGGAAACCATGGATACCACAATTCACAACTTACTACAAAAAGTAGAAAATATCATAGTAGAACAGTCTGACATGTCGGAACTGCTTCAAAGCCATGGCACACGCATTAGTGATGCTGAAAAGTGCATTGAACGCCTTTTAATGGATGACGTTGTACCTGATAGTCCTCCCTTAAACTCCATGCATCGTTGGTCTCAAGCGGATGTAAATCGTGTTTTGCATAGGTTGGACAATGCTGATGCAAAAACAGCTAATCATGAAGTTCTTTTGGTTGAAATGAACGCAATGGTGCAAGAAAAGGCCAAACGTGTCATTGCCTTAGAAACTCAGCTTAGAAATGCAAATGACGAAATCAGGAAACTTCAAAGGCGAATGGAAACTTTGGAGTATAATTCAAGTCTCAGGAACATCGCTACCGCTGATTTAGAAGAACATATTAGACAGCAGGAGTTTTCATGCTATGACGGTGTCCTTATATGGAAGATCACCGATTTTGCAAGGCGCAGAAACGAAGCCATAACTGGCAAACAGGTGTCTTTCTATAGTCCCTGCTTTTATACTAGTCGCCATGGCTACAAAATGCGTGTGCGTATCTATTTAAACGGTGACGGCATCGGGAAAGGAACGCACATCTCACTGTTTTTTGCTGTCATGCGCGGTGAGTACGACGCAATACTCCGCTGGCCATTTCAACAGAAGGTTACACTTATGTTACTTGATCAAAACAATGTAGAGCATGTGATCGATGCCTTCAGGCCTGATCGCAACAGTTCATCTTTTCAGAGACCAAGAAGAGAAGTAAACATCGCTAGTGGATGTCCTACATTTTGTTCCTTATCAGAGCTACACAACCACGCCTACGTCAAAGACGACATCATGTTTATTAAAGTCATAGTTGATACCTGCGATGTATAAATTTTGGTAGTTTTTTTATACCGTCTGTCTAAACCCATTTAGCTAGCCGTTAAACTATGACGAAATTTTAACCCAAATGTACTCTATCTGTTAAGTTTAGATTGAGAGCACAGCTGATCTGTAGAAGAACAGTTAATTTGCAAACAGATTACACTGATCAAGTGTCAGACAATTTTTGATAAAAATTGATATTGTTATATAGCTTCATAGCTTCTCGTTGTAATTTTCCCCTTCCGCTGCTGGCTCTGTACATAATTTTCTTCATCGACAGTGAAATACAAGAAACTATTCCCCTCCAATTTCCGAGATGTTTTTTCTCCTTTTTACAAGGAAAACTTTAAGAGAAACTCCGCATTGTGGCCTTTTCCAGTGAATATCTGCGAAGCAACTCGCAAAGCGAAGGCGCTACAACTGAGCTGCAAGCGCCTCCAAAAGGCGGGAATTTTGGCCCGAAACTCGCACACCTCTGTGGCCTTTGATTGGACGACGTATCATTTTTCTAACGTGAAAAAAAAAAAAAAACATTGTCCTACTTCTGTTTGGACGTATCACTCTAGGCTAATAATAAATACTGCCTTAATTCAGGCAATCACTATTCAATGGATTCTGCAATGGGTTACATTCTGCAAATAGAGCCATGTTACTTGACCGAGAAATTCGAACCAATACTGATTTCCCTTAAACAGTCAACTACTTAATGTTCCTCTTTGTTTTCTTTTCTGAACTTCATGATTACTGATTAGACCTAATTGCAATTTTCTTTTCCTTAGGATGTTCGTAAATAGGGATTACATCATAATAAAAGGCTTGTTTCAGTGTTTTATCCTGGAAGTCCCAAAGTCCCATGATTTTTCAATTTCTGTTTCGTATAAGAAAGTGCTGATACAGCACATTTAAACCAAATGTTGTAAATACCTACATGTTTTTAATCAAGGTCGACAAGTTCAACGTTTTGCAAAGTCTGAGACTCTTTGTGACTATCACAAGATTTTGTGAAATATCAAGGTCCTTAATGCCATATTTAATGACCAAGAGGTGCGCTTTGGATAAAAAGTATACGCAAAATTCAATAGCCGCGTTTATTAGACTGGACCACTATTCTGCTTAGCTGTCGACCACCCAATTTCTGCCCGAGTGCACAAACTTGGAGCGTCAAGTAACTTGAATTTAAAAAGCAAATATGAAAAAAGCTGAACCCAACAGGGAACTTACTCGTATTTTTTTTTTGCTATGACGAACTTTTCGTCATAACTTTTTCGGTTGTTACACGATGGCTACGAAACTTTGGGAAGACCTACAGATATCATTCAGCAATAATATGATATAATCTGATTTACTGGTGGTAAATATTTTTAAGGAAGCTAGCGCCCTACTGTTCAAAGAAAATTGCGTCTAGTAAAAAAAAGGCTGATAATTTTGACTGAAATTTCTGGCTCTTACTCATATAATAAGTATGCCATATAAATTTCAGAGAAATTGTTGGATCAGGATGTTTTTCGAAATTGAGCTCTTTTAAATTGTTTTGGAAATTTGAAAACCTATTTTTCTCTAAGGTAGAACGAACGACCAACTCGAATTTACGGGACAAGTAATTCCAATGTTTCCTAGCTTATTCCTAACACAATAGTGGATTGCCAATCGGGATATTCTTGAAGAAGCCAGTACTGTTTAGTTTTAAAAGCACTACTGACTGTTCACATTCCCCTATTTTTCCGTGAGATCGTCGAGATATAGAGCGTCTTACCATTATATTTATAATGGCGGCTCAATTTTCAAATGTACCCAGGGGGCGGGCGTCGGGGATTATACCGCCCCCTAAGTAGTTTTGACACTCATTGAAGATGGCACCCCGTGCTCGCAAAGCGCTCGATCTCGACGATCTTACGGGAAAATAGGGGACTGTGAACAGTCTAGAAGCACATGATAAATGCTTCAAACTGCTGCAAACTGCTTCCAATTGCTCTGAATTCCCTCTACATTTTTGAAATATCTCCTTCTACCTCCGAGCTATTTGTTTTTTGTAAATTCCAAAACAATTTCACTGCTGAATTTTAAACGACTTTTAGTTACGGACTTTTAGCCTGGAGGGGAGACGTCTGTACACAGGCTACGGACTTTCGGTTCCAAAGATTTCTCTGAAATTTAACTGGCATATTTATCAATGAAAGCCGATACCAGGCATTTCAGTCAAAACTATCACCGAAATTTCAGTTTAAGGGACGCGATTTTCTTGAAATCGTACGTAGGGTCTACTTAAGCGCTAATTTCGCAAAAAAAAAAAAAAAAAAAAAAACAATAGGCAGCAAAAAAAACGGGAAACTTCCAAATTCTTAAATTTTTTTTTTATTTAAATAATATTATTATTTTTAATAAAAGTTTTTTGTTCTTCTTAGTTTGGATAAATTGTTCAAAAAATTACTCTGAAATTTAAATGTGATATTTATCAATGAAACCCGAAACCAGTCATTCAAGTCAAAACTATCACCCAAATTTCATTTTAAGGGAAGCGATTTTTTTAAAAACGTACGTAGGGCCTACTTAAGCGCTAATTTCCCAAAAAAAAAAAAAAAAAAAAACTGTAGGCAGCAATAACATCGGAATACTTCAAAATCCTGAAATGTTTTTGAGAACGCAGGTCGCCTGTTATCCGAAACATCTGTTTTTGGTTCTCAGTATTTTGGCTGATTAGAACTCTTTTCTAGAGATCCAACGTTTGTAGCCAGCAGGATCTTCGTCCACGGTTTTTACAGTTAATTTTTAAATTAAAATTCATTTGTATATATGACGGGGCCACCTTTAGATGTCTTAGATAGTCAAGGCGTTTGCAGGGCTCTTTCTAAATTTCCAAGTTTACTCTGAGTGATAAAGCGTCTGAGAAGGCCCTTACAAACGGAAAAATAAAATAGATAAATAAGATGGTGAAGATAATTATAACTTCATAGCACAAAATTTTGCCCTCATTAGAAGGATTAGAAAACGCGTCTTGGTGCATTATATTTGCTTTCAGAAACTTCCGGCATGTTTGTGCCCTTTGTGATCGTATGGCCACAAATATATATGGCATCCCGATATAAATTTCTATAACACATTTTGATGAAGACTTGGCTAGGTTGTTTATTAATCGCCATTCTACATTTTCTTATAACTCAGATTGTTGGTTACAGTGATCCAGTGGTTTTGATTTTTAATTAGTTTTTGATGGCATGTTAGTAAAAACTACTATTAATGACGTTTGTTTTCAGGGGGTAAACTCTCTCTGCTCGTTAAAAGTTATAGCGTGATATACTATATAGATTTGGAATAATCATCTGTAAATAGTTGGAGAAGAATAATTGAATAGCGATCTGCTAGACATTTTACAGTAAGATAGCGTTTATTTTCAGTCTTCACTTTCATGTCACTTTGCACTATGAAATGCGATCTACGTAGCTAACGAATGGACGGAATCATAATGCATTTTTGGGATCCGAACGAACTTAGGGAAATTTTGCCTTGTGTAAAAGCGGAAGGTTTAGGATCAGACTTCCATACGTCACTTCATTTGGAATCTCGACAAAACAATGAAAGAAGATTGCAAATGACAGGTGATATTGTGGTAAGAATGAGAGGGATTTTTCCCTTTCCCATAATGCGTGCCTGCTTGTCACGCAAGTTCTACAGCACTTTCGACTTTAGGCAGGTAAGTGTGTATACTGCATCATTATTTGAAACGAGAAATTATCACTTTTTATGGACACAGTATTTCAAAAACGTTTTGTCTTTAAGACTCGATTGCAAAACAAAATGCTTTGCTTCGAAAATACGATGTTAAACAGCGAAATATTCCACATTCTGTAACGCTGGCTAAAATATTAATAACGACTCTTCGAATAAGATAAGTTCTTGTTTTTGATCAACGTTTTTTAGGTCCCTGAGAAGCTGGATATTCTGAAGTCAGAAAGCTGAGGCAATCGAGAAAGCCTACCGCTGTCCTTCTTGGCCTATAAATTTCTCAAAAGGAGAGACGAAAGGTATTAAGCGTGGTCAAGGAAGCTAAGCAGAAGAAGGTTTAGAAGGCGGAAGTTCGCAGTACGGGGTTTTTAAAGAATGAGAATCATAGCAAGCCATTGCACCCTGTAGCAATCTAAACAGAAGCGCTGGCATACCATTTTTATCCGCAGTGGGATGGAAGAACGCATCTTTAAGCACTCAGATGCCGTTGATATACAAGCTGATACAAAACTTGACCTTCCACTAAGTCAGTCAAAAACAACTAGATTGGGTTAAGATGGGGGTGGGAGTTGATTAACAGAAATAATCAGAACACTTATTTTTTTTCCGTTTACAGGTTTTTGTTCTATCCAAGCTGGCGTGGGAATTTATTATTGCTGCTGTTCTCAAAATTCCTGGCGAAGACAAGAGAGAGCTATCTCTAGATCTACTAATCTTGCTTACAGTGTTGCAAACCTTAACCGTAATTTCGATACAGATGGCTGGATGTCGACTCTCCCTTGGTGACCAGAAGCGAATTCCGCCCAAGTACATTTGCAACCAGTGCAGTTTTGTACTGAGTGAGCCAATGCAGACGCCTTGTGCTCATTTTTATTGCAGGACTTGTTTAGAAGACTTGAAAAGGTAACGGGCTTCAACCTTCAGATCTAATTTATTAGAACTGGAAGGTTCTAAAGATGTTAAACAGAAAATTGCATTCGCTAGGATATGTACTTCGCTTTTTCTTTTGCTCATGATATACACCTGATGTAATATAACGATGACGATTTAATATAACAAGTAGTGCGAATTACTAGCGTTAAACTTGAGCATAAGTCTGTCAGATATACTCCCTTTAGTTTCCGCAATAGAGAATGTTGGTTTAATTGGTTTCCGTATTAACAGTGTTTTACAGAAAGGTGGAAGGGTGGTGTGAGTGTGTGTGCGTGTTTGTTTTGTTTTGTCTTTTTTGGGGGGGGGNATATAACGATGACGATTTAATATAACAAGTAGTGCGAATTACTAGCGTTAAACTTGAGCATAAGTCTGTCAGATATACTCCCTTTAGTTTCCGCAATAGAGAATGTTGGTTTAATTGGTTTCCGTATTAACAGTGTTTTACAGAAAGGTGGAAGGGTGGTGTGAGTGTGTGTGCGTGTTTGTTTTGTTTTGTCTTTTTTGGGGGGGGGAAGTGGAGGGGGGAAGGGGGAGGGGAGGGGAGGGGGTGGTAGGTTTCTGGGTGGTTTATTAATCCCTCGCCCGCGAGGTGCTGTCCGGTCTTTCTCCTGAAATATACCGTGGCTCAACCCATCAGGAGCATTTAGTACGAAGTCAAATCGTGTTGTCGTTTCGTTGTTTCGTCGTTTCTTTGTGTGACTTCGTGGCTTCGTTCCGTCGTTTTGTCCACCAGTTTCTTTTAATCGGCGCCGTTTTCTCTTGTCACTTCGTGGCTTCTTCCCGTCGTCTCGTCGCCATAACGTCCAGGAATGGTATAATTATATAGAAAGTGTGACAATATTTCCGTAAACCACAAGCGACCAGATAAAATTCTCCCAGTGGAGCTTATGCTTGCAATTTCACCCACTTTTTCCTTATATATTTTGCTTAACTAACTTGCATTTCAACCATTCATTTTCTTCAAGCGGAGACACGACTTACAAATGTAAAGTTGACAATGAAGAGTTTAACACCTCAGAGGTAATTAAGACACTTGACACAATTCAACTTAAAACATTACACGGGGAGGCTCCACTCTGCCCCATTTTCCAACTCCTTACCCTTTTATATACCATTTTTGACTGACAACGTATCGCTTTCGTATACCTTCTACTGAAGAATGATACCCCTCTTACGAACCTTTGTAAAAGCACTCATCTCTAGTCTTTTTGTAATAAAGTTAATGATGATATATTATTACGGGGAAACACTGAAATTAAAAAATGATAAAGCCGTTAGATACGGAAGCGTATGTTTGAATGGTTGTAAGTTGATTTTACTGCGCAATTCTGCCCTTTTCTACTATTTAACAACAAGTTGGTTGAATAAAATGTCTTTCGTACTTTCTGTAACTTTCACTAGACCAAGCGTTTTTTAGAAGTATTTAAATGGTTCAACGACGAAAATGCCATCTCCTTGGTGCTATCCATTGAGTGAACTACTCTTTGGTCTTATAATAATATGAAGAATAAAATCCCTTGGAAATTGTCAAAAAGCCAGATTTTACTCTTTTGTTTGCTAAACATAACGAGGGACAGCTCCAACTTTGATTGTTAAGCAGGTTGAAATAACTCCCTCGTTATTTTTTTCTGAAATAACTTGCGTTATAATTTAATCATTGATTCATCAGAGAGGTTAAGTTTCACGTTTATGTCAAACGTCAAACGCGAATTTGCAGCACGTGACCAAGTTTTGCCTTTGCTTTTCGTTTACTGTTCATTATTTGTACACATAAATTAGTAGTGTCACCCAATGTTTTATCCGTAAGAATTTTTTTTGCGCATTTTTTATCTGCTCATTTTCTGTTTTGAGAAATTCTCAACTTAAATCTGACGTCTGCCGTTTGCCGTGTACGTGAAGCTGTTCCCAGTACAAGAAATGAGATGAGGTTACGTTTGTGTATAATATATATGATGATGATGATGATGATATCGATGATGATCATTGTAATGACGATAATAATAACGATAATGATTATCATGATAGTGATGTGTCAATGAATATAACTAGACAGTCTTCCAAAGTTCTAAATGGAAGTGTTCATTTTGCAGGTATTTCCTGATGGCTGGGTCAGAAATGAAATCAATGATTTAGCCGTACACTGCCCTCACAAGGAACGCGGTTGTGACTGGGAGGGAAAGATAGCCAGCCTAGAGGTGAGTCTAAGGTTCTACTTCTGTATTTTCCCTGATAAACAATGTTATTCTTTCGGAAATCCAGGCATAATATAATAATTTCTACGAACATTCTCATATAGAAGAAGAACAACAGCAACAACAACGACGACAACAGCAACAACAGCAGTAATATCAAAATTTGAAAATCTACTTTTTGTATTACGCAAAAGACACAATCATTTATAAAACATCACAGTGATAATACATATTAATTTAGGACCTACGTGGTGTACAGACAGGTCTGTATTGTCATGGCAATAACAATCTTACGGATAGATTTCTCAGAGTAAAATATGGAGCCTTACCACGATTTAGCGTCTTGGGTAGCCTGTTCTGGATCGCGGAGCAAGGTTGAGAGTGAATGGTTAATCCGAAACCAAATAAGGGTGAAGTATATTAGCGAATTCTCGCAGGCAAATTTGAAATTTAAGTGTCCTGAAATGGCTAATTATCTTCTGATAATAGCAACGAACCAAGTTTGTAATGGTTATAATACCACTTTAGCTGTGAACGCCGGAAACCCGATGCTCCCGTTAATTCAAAAATATATTAAAGGTAAAAATGTAACATCTCAGACTATTTAGGATGACAATAACCAAGGTCAATTGTGGTATTAGCCTCCAACTCCACCATTTATCTTAAGGTGCGCTTCGGTCGGTCGTAGCCTTACAGACTATGCATGAAAACGACGTTGGAAAATAAAAAGTCTTAAAACTTTACAAACATGGATAAAATGATTGATATATTACAACAAGTCCCAAACGGAATTGACCGCGATTGCATTTCTTTCCAGCTGGAAAACGTAATTGATTTACTTGTGAGATTGGCACATTTTTACTAAGATGGCGGACTGGTTTTAGCGGTTCTTTGTGCGGCGTTAACAGCGGTGGAAAATTGCCGTCAATCTGAGGATAACCCCTGTCAATTCCGTTTTGGACTTGTTGTAATATATCTATCAGGGCACGCCTAAGGTACCGAATAAGCACCTCACGAGGTGAGCAAGATGGACATGTCTCGTTTGAATACCATTTCGGTTTGCTTGCAGTATGTACTAAATAATACTGTTTAAGATCCAGGCCTGGATCCTAAGTAAACTTCTCACGTGATGCCCTTTTTGCAAATTGCCTTTTTTGCGATGCCTCAAGTTTTGCGTTATGCCTCTTTGCGTACTGCATTTTTGCGTCAATTGCCTTTTTGCGTGTTGGCTCTTTGCGTGATGCCTCTTTGCGTGTTGCTTTTTTGCGTGTTGGCTCTTTGCGTGATGCCTCTTTGCGTGTTGCGTTTTTGCGTGTTGGCTCTTTGCGTTATGCCTTTTTCGTGTTGGCTGTTTGCGTGATGCCTCTTTGCTTGTTGCCTTTTAGCGTGATGCCTTTTTCTGCGTGATACCTATATGATAGTGGCTTTTTTAGTATTTCTTCCTTCTCCCGTCCAGAAAAAAAAAAAAATTGCAAACTTTGACTCGGTATATTTCAGATTTGACTTAGCCCTTTTCACTTTTAGGTTATTGAATTTTGTCATAAATATACCCTCATAACCTTAGCGTATCTTAGATCACGGATATGCGCATATCTAAATGCTAAAACAATGAAGGACACACTTGGCTTTGTTTTGGTTAACTAAGCGTGCCGAATCTTTTTGTTTCTTCTGCTAGCGTGCTAAATGTCACGGTAAGCGTGCGTTTTATAGTACACGTAGCGTGCAATTTGAGCATTAAACACGCTAAACACGCTAGATTACTATACGACAAAAATTAAATTGCTTGTGTATTCAGCGAAATGAATCGCAACTGAAAACTAGTCGATAAAACTTAAATAAACCGTTTTGTTACCAAAAACCCGAGATATATCTGTAACAAAAAGGCACACAGATTTGTTTCATGGAATTTGATGGTATTTAACAAGGACACGAACACTAAATACCTTAGTTGACTTGGTTAACATCTTGCGCCTTGCATACATTCAGCGAATGCAATAGACCTTTTTACCGATACGAGGGCCATATTGAATTAATTCGATTTAAGGAGTATTATAGAGTGCCCATTTTTTAGAATAGGATTCTGATGGGAAAAAAGGTCCTTGTGCCGTGTTCAGGATCGATGTAATAATGATCGCCTTTTTGCCGAGAAATATACAGTGAAAGACCATATTTCTAATACTAAACTAGAAAAAGGCGATCATTATTACATTCAAACACGGCGCAAGGATCTTTTTTCCCATTAAAATCTTATTCTAAGAAAACTTAAAAAAAAAAATGTCCCGAAAAGCGCTCGAAAATACAAACGAAATGTGCTCATGCCCCCTGGGCATCCTGTAATACTCCTTTAGTCGAATTAATTCCGCCGTATCGGTAAAAAGGTCTATTGGTCGCTGATTCCGTAAACCAGAATAGCTCGGTTAACCACTATAACTTTTAGACCGGAATTACAGGAAACGAATTTCCCCTTGACGAAGCCAATTTCCCTGCTTAGCTCGGAAACGAAAACAAAAACGTTTGGTCGCAGGTAAAAAAAGAGTAAACAAACAAGCACTTATCATGTCACACGCTTCTGTTTGACTTTCGCTGCAGCTGAGTTTGAGTTGAAATTGTCAAAAAATGATGAAGTACTCTTGGAGAAACCTTCGATACACATCAGCCTTTGACTGCCTACTACTGACCCTTCAATAGAGTACGATACATGTAGAAGTATATATAAGTTTCAAGTAACGTATGCAGATTTACTTATAGTTTAAAACACAGTTTCGAAGTGAGCGTTTTATGTTCTGCTTTGAACTGTGCACTTGGAGATTTATTATATTAGCTATTCAGTTTTATCCAGGTTAATTATATCTTGTGTTTGTTATAGGACTGCTCGCAAGCATTACCATTTTGACTACTATTTCCGACTAACTTCAAGATCAAATTTCTCCTTCATCATCGTGACTGATCACACGACCCGATGCAAGTTATGCACCAAAACTCAAACACACATTTTATAATTCACAGGATAGCCTTCATACAAAAATACACAGACACAATTGGCCAAAATCACAGGCTGAATGGCAAACATCCAGCCTATTCGAGCTTGTGTTGGTTTCCTGCGTGGCTATTTCCAACTGGAGACTAAATATGGCCTGATTTCTTCTTCTTGTTACAATAGCCAAGGATACAAAGTAACATCAACCCGTATCAGGGTAGATTCACATTCGTGCTAGTAATAGATTGCCGGCAAAAAAAAAAAAACAAAAAAAAGAAAAAATTTAAGAAGAAGTTTAAGATGGGAAATAATTTGTTCAGAGTTCAATGTCAAGATGTATTTGGATACAACCTCTTTTGAGGAGTTCGATCTTATGCTACATATGTTACCTGTACTTATATTTCACTAGCACAACCCCTGTTTTAGTTTAAAACAAGGATGGAATTTGCTAGAACACTGCGCCTCATAACGAACAATAAAACTAATTTTTCCAGTGACATTTATTTTCCCACTTAAATTTCTAGGAACATATTTCAGGGTGTGACTTTGTGGAGATACCTTGTATGTTTGAAAAGTGTCAAACAAAAGTGCTTAAGTCGAAACTTGCTGAACACCTTGAAAACGAATGCAGCCAAAGAAAATCAAAGTGTGACCACTGTGGTCTGGAAATGCTGTTTGGTGAAGTGAAGGTAACATTTTGTTCACGTGCTCCTAAACGTACTTGTCTTATAGCACCTGAGAGATTTCTCTGTGTTTTTTACTAGCACTGAACTTTAATGAACCAAAAAACAAACAACCAAAAAAAGAAACAAAAACTGTGGTCTGTCTCTCTTTTGGGGCCCAACGGAACGTCCTCAGTAAAAGGCTCAAAGCTTGTGTGCTGTGATTGCGCTTATAAGATCCATCTTCTTTAATTTCAGTGTTGCCTATTACTCAGTCCCAACCACTACCCTAAACTTGATAGATTATTTTTAAACGGTGCATGACGACCATTCTGACGGATACTTCAAAAGTCGCACCCCTTGTTTTTGCACGTAGGAAATCTTATGTAAATTCCATTCAAATCGTTGAATTAACGATCGAAAAAAAACGTTATCTAGAGCACTACGAAGTGGAAGGGAAGTACATGTTATCATTCACTTTTGAAGTAATTTAATAAATCAAATAAACAATCGGTTGTCCCCTGATTGTTTTAACAGAATCATGTTAGCAGCGACTGCCAATCAATTCCCATTGACTGTCATCTTTGTGACAAGAAAGGCATTCTTCGGGGAAAGTTACAGGAGCATCACGATCCAGAATTTGGTGACTGTGAAGGCACCAAAGCGTTCTGCCCATTTTTTACACTTGGCTGTAGATCCAGAGAGGTAATAAGGCAGACGTAAACGATTGAATGTGTTATAATACGTAAATAATTTCGCAAATTTTAGAAGCTATATGTTAAGATAATTAACCATAGACTAGTTTCCTATATTTTTTAAATGCGTTAGACGAAGGAGAGCGCCATTCTAATTGTGTTTTTTTAGTAACATGCTTACTAACCCAGTTTTCATAAATCCAGGTAGGTATCTCAATGGAATAAGTACCTAAACCCAAATTTTGTTATTTGCAAACAAAATTAAGTAGAATCGAAGCACTTTGAAGTTGCAAACACTTTTCAAGCAATTGTTGTGGGTTGAATTGTAATTTGCATTACATCTAACAAGCCCCATATCTTTGTTGATAACGCTCTTAAATCACCGACACTGTGATTCACGCTGAGCGCCATATCTTGTGAAATGAGCGGCCGTCGTCTTGAGTTTGGATTGCTCAAAATTTCTTTATGATTACTCCTGTCTTTGATTCCTGCAAACGCACACGTTGTCAAAAAATTTTCAGCTTGATTTACACTTGAAACACCACGATTCCTTATTTTTTATATCCTTTACAAAAAGGTTTTGCAACGTATTTTGAACTGGTTCTGAGTACAATTATGCTCAATTTTATTGTTTTGATTTCGACTTGTCATTGGCTAATTTCAAAATTTGTTTCAAAATTTTGTCTGGGTGTCCTCGGTTCATGTAGTAGCATTGTAAAAACAGACAAAAGTGAAATCGGCTAATGTTAGTGCTATTATAAGGTAGTTCACGGAATAATTTTTAGTCACTTCTGATTGACAGTATTTTAATTATCTCTACGTTGTTATGAGTGTATTTCTGGTGTTTGCAGGAGATGAAGCTCACTGAGAGAAGGCGTCACGAGCAATCGTTGGTAATGTATCACCTCAACCTCCTGCTTCATTTTGTGCTTTCTTTGAGGGACGATTTTGAAGGTTATTGTAACGAGATAAAGCCAATCGATCGACTGAAGTCAACAGTCAGCCAGCTTCTCGCTCAGGTAACGGCAGTGGTACGCGAGAATGGAAGTATCCAAGAGGAAGTCGATAGCTTAAGGACGCAACTTGCGCGGGTAGAGGAAAATTTGATGGAACCGCATTCTGCTGCAACCGGGCAACATCACTCCTTGCAAGTGCAGTATCAACAAATAACTGCAATGTTAGCTGATTTTAAGCGTCAGCTGAACAACATGGAAGCTAAGTTTGAAAATCACGAGTTGCTGCTGTTCGAAGCAAATCGCTATATTGAAGAGCAAAACCAAGAGATTGCTAGGTTGAAGAGACAAGAGGAAATTGACAGAGAGCAATTAAACCGGTTACAAGCCAAAGTAATATCTGTGGAGGAGAGCTTGAAGAGACGGAATATACCACCGAAAGCTGGTATTCAAAGTTCCCCGAGAGATCAAGAACCAAACAGCTTTGATGGCACTCTTCTATGGAGGATAAATAATGTTTCAGCGAAAATGTATGATTCGTTTAACGAACCGGAGAAGTCGTTTTATAGCCCGCCGTTCTTTACAAGTCGTCATGGATACAAAATGTGCGCACGTATTTACCTGAATGGTGACGGGATGGGAAAGGGGACACACATTTCGCTGTTTTTCGTGCTAATGCGGGGTGAGTATGACCCGTTACTTCGCTGGCCATTCAGACAAAAGGTTACCTTCATGTTGTTGGATCAAAACAATGTGGAGCACGTGATTGACGCCTTTAGGCCGGATCCAAACAGTTCGTCCTTCCAAAGACCGAGAAGGGAGACGAACATCGCCAGTGGATGCCCCCTCTTCCTGCCGCTTGCGGATTTAAATAACCACTCTTATATCAAGGATGACGCAATGTTCATAAAGGTTATCGTTGACTGCTCCGACCTGTAAAGAAAAGAAGAACTAATTAGTTTGTGTCTTTGGAAAAAACGTCAAACGATTTAGATAATGAGCGTTTATTATTTCCTTAATTTACGATTTAACAAAACTAATTTCCTGCTAAACTGACTGAATTGTTGACTACTTATCAGCTGAACAATTAATTAATGTATATTACCCGGCACTGCGTTCCAGTGTTTCGTTAAATAATACCTAAAGCACTTTACGCCTTATTTGGTGCTATTATCCCTACGTAAAGACAATACGCCTCGCGCAGATTGGATTCTAAAGTGCTGTTCTAAAGTGCTGCACAAGCCCGACCCTCAATAACAAAATATGATATCTAGAACTGTCCTTGTAATTGAATCCGAAAACGCGCTTCATTACGTCTGATTTTCTAGCTTACTAATGTGTCTGGCTGCGCGATAGTGCCAGACTTGCGTTAAAGAAAGTTGGGCTTTTAACTCTTACAAGGAATACTATTTTTAACCTGATCAACGCATCCAGTCCCACCTCCTACTTTACGACAATTATCGGAAATGTATGGGCATTAAATTTGAGCATATTTACCTTTAACACCTAATAACTTGACATCGTTTGAATGGGATTCATTTTATCCGCACATTAAATTGCCATGGCCTCGATGATGTTAGTGTTTCCCAAAATGAGAGCTTGATACTTCTCGTGAGTCACCTTCATCCCGGTTCACTGTGACCAGTGCAGTGCGTGAAGAATAAGTCCCGCTGATTAATATCCTCCTTGACAACCTGGCAATTGGCTGCACCACCCTATTGGAAAGCTTAGATCATTACTAAAAATTTTCGCTCGCAGGGGTCCAAAAATAGACCCCTGCGAGAACCATAATGCCACACTCGACCAGGTTGAAACGGTCTTAAATGAACATAAAAACTGCAGAGCTATTGGTACTACCTAAAAGTTAACTTTGCAAGCCATAAACTCGACACTTTCTGTTGGTGTCTTGTTCATGTCTTGAAAACCTTTTTACGTAGGTCAATCAGCTTTTCAGATTTATCGTCACTTGGTATATTCGTTTGCGGTCCTTTGCAGTTAATTTTAAGTTGAATAGATGCCGCCTAACTTCACTGACTGGAATGGTCACATAAGTGCACAGGGAGACAAAACTCGAAATATGAGTGACGTGTCAGCCATGTTATGAATCCTTCGAAACAGGGCAAGGATTTGTAGAGCTCGTGCTCCACGCAGCAAAGTAAAGACATATTACTTGAGCGAGGTGACTATAGGGCGTTGTTAATTCAAATATATTTCCCTTTTTTAAGTTTTCTGAAGCATTTAGTAAACTTTGTTCTGCTATACAAATACCTATTATTCGAAGGTTATGCAACAGGACTAACGTTTATTTTTCAAGCTTGGGCTACATGTGACGAACTAAAGAAACATTCAAATGCAAGAGATCGTTATTTGGTAAGTTGCTAACAGTTTTGTGTTTTCAGTAACATTAATTCACTTACATTATTTTATTGTAATTGTAAATGTAATTTGTGTACCCACGGAACACTTAGGAGTTCATGAGAACTCGTAGAAAGTGTCCGTGCGTTCCAGATCGAATTGGAATTTGGAAGGGTTGGTTTTTAAGGAGAGGGGAAAACCGGAGTACCCGGAGAAAAACCTCTCGGAGCAAGGGAGAGAACCAACAACAAACACAACCCACATATGGCGCCGACGCCAGGATTCGAACCCGGGCCACATTGGTGGGAGGCGAGCGCTGTCGCCACTGCGTCACCCTTGCTGCGCCACAATTTGCATTAGTTGTTTGTTACAGATCGAAAAAGTGCCGGAGACGACAATAATTATTGCGACGGTGTTATCAAAATTGTGTGATTTGGTGCCACTTTTAATACAGTTTCCAGAAATAGAGGTGACTTAATTAACAAGGCAAATATTATACCACATGGTACGTGTCGCGCGGTATTACAGTTTGTCTTCATATCGCGAGCAGAGGACTTCTTCTGATCTCTAATAACGACCAAATCATTATCAATTTTATTGAGCCTGCTTCTTTTAAAAGCATTTAAGCATTACCACCTCATCAAAGATCAGAGAACACTAAACAGTCTGTTATTACAAGTACCCAGCCATCGTAGTATCACTGCCGAGTTAGTTAACATTGTTTCACGCCTCATGATGATGTTCCTAATGGTTCTGTACTATATCATGAGCATGCATCTAGCTGTGCTTACAGCCGCTGAGAGTAAAATCTTCCTTGTTCAAGGCACTAAGATAGAAGGAAAACTCACCGCCTGTTATAGGTCATGTTCCAGTGAAGTGAACCTGAACCAAGTACTCCAATAGACGAGTGAGCTAGTTAGCATTGCGTCGCTGATCGTTTTGCTCGTTTACCTGTTCTTTGTTTTCAATTTGCATTTCGAACGAGTCTTCATCCAGGGCGTTGGGGTAGAAAGGCAGGAGCCAAGGTAGGAAGCAGCAGATTGGACGGACAATGTTCCTGTGATCAGGAATCGCACCCTACATCGAGAACACGAAGGAGGTCCGCCTTGAGTAGGTACAACGTGTAAATTTTGATCTCATTCATTCATTCATCTTTTCTCTTAATTGTTACTTACCTAAGAAAGCGTGAGTCACAGTTTTCTCAAATGGACAGTAAAGGAAGTGGTGTTTTATTCCTGGCATGGGATACCGTAAGATTCCGAAAATAAACCCCTCCATGTATAAGCCCCTCCAAATATAAGCCCCCCCCAAACCGGTAACGCAAAGACCCCTCCGTTACATCGTCCCTCCAAATTTAAGCCCCCCGGGGGCTTGTGCTTGGAAAATTGCCCTCAAATACAAAGTAAAACAAAGCAAAAATGGTAAATTTACTTCCAACTATAAGGCTAGCCCAATCGATTTTGAAACGCAAATTTCCCTCCGTAGATAAGCCCCTCCAAAAATAAGCCCCTCAAAAAGGGCCTTTGAAAAATATAAGCCTTATTTTCGTAATTTTACGGTATTAGAATGTCCACTAGTGTATTTTGACCCATGATCATTTTACAGAAGTGCAGAGTTAAAATCTTTTCAAAACAAAGACTTCCCGAGGTAAATAATTTAAGATAAACAACATATTGCTTTGGCCAGCGCCACCAAATGTAAATAATCATTAGACTAATGGACACACCGTCCAATAAATTACTCAGTAAATTTCAATCTAAAGACAATAATATTTCCTGTGAAAAGATCAGACCCTTAGAGCGAATTAAGGTTTCTTCCGCGGGTTAGAACCTCGTTCCCGATATGAATACTGTGAGCCACAAGATAACTACTTGTGTGTAATTAAGGGCCAGAAATGAGCCGAAGGCCAAAGAGGTACAACGAGCGCACCAACGGCCTGCTGAGATTTCAAATAATGCAATACGCGTGGGACGATACCAACTGGAAGGACTACTAGGCAATTTTCTCCCCGAAGAGACTGAAAGAAAAAATCATCACCCGAAGTATTGGCGTTGCAAAACCTCGAAAAATATTTGGGGAGCTTGTGATTAATATTATAATAATTAGCAAAACAATCAACACTATGCGGGCCCCACCGGCCATCAAGCAAAAGAAAACATTCTTCAGTAATTTGCCAATCATCAGTGTCAATTAAATGACTTATATAATCAGCTTGCTGATTCGAAGTGCAAGGGATCCATTGCACTTCTAAATGAATCCCCGATCGAATACAAATATCAAAAATCCTTCGGGCCATCTTATGCAAACCTAATTTCATGCTGTCCACTTCAACAATCTTAGCAGCTGCTTGGCTATCAGTAAACTACCTAACGTGTGATCATTCCAACACTGAGGCAAATGATTGCTATGAAAACTCAATAGCAGACAACTCCCTCCACGTTGAAAATTGAACTCGCTCGAGTCTCCGACCACATTTTGTGGCACACAAAATCATTGTTGAAGTCAATAATTGTACCACCTCCGGTAGCACTGGCATCCGAATATACGAAATAACTATAGGATCTTTACTTACAAAGCAATACCTAGAGTTGATATTAACCATATTTTCCTTCCAAAAATACATTTCTTCCTTGCAGTAATCGTCGAGACGGAATATACACTGTAAATTAAAAAGATCTGTTTCAGCCCCAAAGTGTCAATTCAGCCCTGCAGGCCAAAGTCTGATTCAGCCCTTCTTGGAGCCATTTGAGCACAATTTAGGCCAAAAAAGCTCTATCAAAAGGCTATTCCAGCCCACGGTAGGGCCCATTTCAGCCCTGGGACCAAATCAGCCCTAGCTAATTGAACTGTATTGGCCCTGATTTAAGGGAGCCAAATTAGACCCAAAAATAGGACTGTATTTTACTCACCGAAACGGCCCTGTTTTTAGGGCTAAAACAGATCTTTCTGATTTAGAGTGTAGTATCCCAGTTATCTTTGCACAACGTGGATTTTCCCAAGTTAACTCGCCCTGTTTGTTTTTAATTTTCTTTGCTCTAGCAAGGTATTTCTCTTTTCGTTCTTCATCGTGGTGGAGTAAAAAATCCTCGTATTTTGGATTTTCCAACATGTATCTTCTTTCCATCCTTGAGAGTAACAAAATACTTGTTATTTTTTCGGTTTGAAGAATCAAGAGATTCAGAGCCTAGTTTAAGAGCTTTTTTGGTTAGTTTTGCAAAATCTTTTCCAGTTACAACGTTCTTTGTTGGTTCAGTTGTTGTTTCCTCTTCCTCAGAAATATCACTTAAATCTTCTTTTGTTGATGGTTTCATTTTATTTCTTGATTATATTATTCAATTATGAATCTACGAGGCATAATTTCCGGCTCACTAGTAGTTATAATAGGACGACTTCTGACTCAACTCCCCCCCCTTACTCTTTTCTATCTCCGGCGAGCTAGCGAGGCGAGCGAGCAAATATGCCGTCTGGTTCAGATTTTTTTGAGTTTGATGGGGGTACAAATTTAAGTAGGGTATCATTTTTATGATTATTTTCTGTCTTGTTAAGTGGAAAAAAATGTCACAAAATTTTAGGTATTTGGCTTTAATGACGGAAAAAAAA